TCACTGGCACCCAGAAACTTATTATTATTATTATTATTATTATTATTATTATTATTATTATAACATTTCTATGCCTCCCCTTGCCGAAACCTCGGGGCGGCTTACAAACTTATAGAAGAATAGAATCCAAACACATCTCTCTCCACTTCGGGTCCAAGAATCTACAACATTCTGCTTCTCAGACAATCCGAATCTGCATTAGGCAGCTAAACAAGTTCCACTCTAGAATTTTATTTAGTACATAGATTGTTCCAATGCTACGGGCTTAATGGATGGTCCCTAAGTCACAACATGCCATAAAAGAGGAACCACCTTTCTGCAGCTAGTGTCATGGTTGAGATAGATGCGAGGTGCTTATGTTTTCTTTTAAGCAAACGCTGAATAGCGATGAGTTCAGTACTAAATTCTCTTGCCCGACCTCTTGGGTGCCTCCCTACCAGGGGCAAAGTCGGGAAACAGTCACACAATTTGCGTCAAAAGATCCTCTGTGTGTCTTTGCGCCTTGTCGGCTACTAAGGTGTGCAGGGATGTGAATTCAGATTTAGTGCACCCTCTTGCCATGGACGTCAGCCAGCATCAGTCCTTCCTCCATTCTCGGTGCACAGGGGAGTCATACAGGCCGCAAGAAAAGATAAATATCGTCTGCTTTTTCTTGGACATTTGCTCCCACTTTTTATGCTTCTTTGCAAAAAGAATCAAACTTAAAGTGTTGAGCATGGTCTAATCCATCTGTTCCTCACATGGTCCCCTTGGGGGGAGGGGGGACTACAACTCCCATCACCCACAGCCATTGCCCACACTGGCTGGAGCTGGCAGGAGCTGGAGATCAAGAGCACCAGGGTGGGAAAGCTGGGCTCGGTGGTTGTTATGCCTGCCACAGAATTTCACTCTAAGGGAGGCATAACGGATTTCAAGGAGGCTGGTGCAGTTTCGGGGGGTGGCGGGGTGCCGCACTTGGCTCTGTCCGTAAAGGCCGCGATGAAGAGCAGCGATGCTGAGGAAGTGTGGCACGGTTGGGCCGGTGGCCAGATGGAAGCCCGCCTCGGCACCTTGTTCCCTTCTGCTCTTGGAAGCAAGGAGCGCCGAGAAGCCCTGCAAAGGAAGGGGCTGGCTGGGCACTGAGCTTCTCCACGCCCGGGAGAGAAATGCCGCCGGATCGCCCTTGGGGACAGCCGGAGCGGGGCTTGCGGATCCACACAATAGCGGCTTGCCTAGTGGCTCCGCCAGCTGGGAGCAGGTGGCTTCAGCAGCAGCGGAGCGGACCACGTGCTCCTGGCCACCTCTGGGGGAGAGGCCGGGCGAGCAGCTGAGCCGGCAGCTTCTGCTTTGAATCCGGGATTCTGTCTGTCGACAGCCCAGGGCTGAATGGTGGCTCGCGTTGGTCTGAGGAGGGAGAGGATGGATCCGGACAGGTAGGTGGTGCGGGCAGAGGACGGTCTGCCTGGATCACGCGGGAGCAGAGCAGAGTTGAGGGAGGAGGGGAAGAAGCGTGGAGCAGGTGAAAGCAGAGCTAGGGGGCCTGGGCTCGCCTCCCCTTGGCTTGAATTCCTACCGTCTCGTCTGATGTGTTCACTGATGCAGCATCCTTAGGAATGCAAACGGCAGGCGAGCCAAGCGTCCTCCAGAGGCAGATTAGCCTTCCCCAGCCCAATCCCCCCAGACGTGTTGGACTACAATTCCAGCATTCCAGGCCGCTGGCCAGACTGGCTGGGGCTGATGGCATGATGCACCTGGATAGGGCCAGGCTGCGGGGAAGGCAGGTGTAGAGGGGATTGTGGGAGGGGTCTCTGAACGTGTAGCAAGGCTGTTGACTGTAGGCACAATCCTGTTCTCATACGCGCGGCATCCTAAAATGTCTTTCTTATCTATTTGACGGGCAAGAGCATTCCTTCCACAGCAACTCCTGGGTAAGTGAGGAAATCTGGACTGACAAAAGGTTCAGTCCCATCCCTTGGCCCTGATCCTGGTGGAGGATCAGGAAAGGAGCCCAAGGCAATTTACAGAATCTGCCCCTCCTTTTTGATCCTCACCACAACAACCCTGTGAGGTAGGCTAGGCAGAAAGTCACGTGACTGACCCAAAGTCACCCCATGAGCTTCATGGCCCAGTGAGGACTAGAACCCAGATCTTCAAGCCCCAGTTCAATACTCTAACCACTGCACACTACTACCTCTGCTATGACGTTACAGCACAGTCCTCGGGCTACATTCCTGAACAGTGAAAATAACCAGGAGCAGGACTGTGCAGTTGGTTGACTCTAATGTATAAATGCAGTGCAGCATCGTAGTTGGTCACTTTTCAGATCTTTGATTTGCTTTGTCCTGAGCCTTGAAAACATTTTGAAAGCTTTGCATGAAAATTCACATGCATTTTTTGTGCCTATTTTGCCTAACATGTGTGTTTGTCTATGCAATTGTTCAGAATGTACCCACCGTCCAACATTTCTAATATGATGCATTCCTGTACAGTATTTTCCATTCTATTCACAATTTTGTGTACACTTTTCCCAAATCACTGCTTATTTGTATAATTCCTTGACTGGGGAATGCCTTTGCAAATTTTGAAGGGTTGCTGAGTTTTGGCTCATGTATTGGTGCAAACTTCTAGAACTAGATAAATGCACATTCAAAAGTGAATGGAACAGATCTCTCCCCCACGCCTCAAAATGTTGACAAAGTCAGCTAAACCCTCCAAGAGCATAAAGAAAACCCGTGATGTGGACGTGGCAGCAGAAACACGGGCTGTTTCTCAGCAAATGGCCAAAGCTGTGAGTTTTGTATGTTGGTCCCCCAAGCTCCAAATACCTAGACCCGCTGGGGCCTTGGTGGACTGGAGTATTGAATTCGTGATGTACATGATGTATATGCTGCACAGTAGAATAATACAGACAAGGAATTCCCACAGGGCAGCCTGGTATTTCCAGCTGTCTAAGAGTGTATAAATGTCAACACCCATCATAAATTGGACTTAGGGTAGTTTTTCATTCGGGGCCATCTCCCCAGGTATGGATCTCAGCGAAAAAAATATGTGTAGTGCGTCAGTCTGGAAAAGCTCAGGACTGAATTCCTCCCAGCTTCTCCTTTATAGAAGAATCACAGACGCGAAAAGCACTGGCCCCATTTCCATGAATTTAAAAGAAACAAGGGGAGAAAAACACACGAACATGCGTTCTGTGGTACTGATGCTACCAATGTGCATTTTTGCACTCAGCAATATCTATATCTTTGTACAAAGCTTTGTGTGGAAGCGTCTCTTGATTTCCAAAGACCTGGATTATTCATTTGGACATTTTCCAAATGTTTGTGGCTGCTGTGGGTGAGGACCTGGGTGCCGAGGTGGAGATTCGCAACATTTTAAAGATATATTTGTGATGTTTATTTGATGTGTTTGGTGTAGAAAATACGACAAACGCTTTTGGTGACACCTTACTTCACTTGCTCAGGCAAGCGATTGTGTGTTGCTTTCAGATCTGTAGACCACTTTTGATAAATTTGGGGCACTGGAGCTAAGTTTTGTTGCCTGGAAGTAACAGTTCAGGGAAGTCTGTGAAAGCATTTTAGCCTCGAAAGCTCAGGCTGCTGTTTTTAGCAAATTAAAATTGCTTAATGAAAGCTGATAAGCAAACAAAAGGCTTACAGATGTCAAGCACTATCAAGGAGGGATGGGTAAACCTTGCAGTGGATTACCAGAGGCCAGCTTTTCACTGAAGACCAAGGCCAAGGTCATCCACAGGATCATCCGCCCAGTCATGATGAATGGGCGTGGACACCGGACGGGGTGTGCTGAAACCCTGGTGCTGGAGGAGAGCTTTGCAAATGCCCCGGAGCGACAGAAAGACGAGCAAGTCCCCAGTCTAATCAAGCCAGAACTTTCCCTGCAAGCAGCAATGAAGAAATGAGGCTGCCGCACTTCAGGCACATCATGGGAAGGCAAGATGTGCTGGAGAAGATGACCGTGCTAGGGGAAAGTCAAAGGGGGCAGCAGCAGAAGAGAAAGATCAGCTATGAGACGGATTGATTCCATACCGGAAGGCACAGCCTTGAGGTGGCCGCAGCTGAGCAGGGCTGTGGAGGAGAGGGCCTGCCTCTTGGAGGACGTTCCTCCATTCATTCCTTCATTCATTCATTCATTCATTCATTCATTCATAGGGTTGCCCTCAGTCAGAGACAACTTGACCTCATGGAACACCAGCTGTTCCCAATATAATGCTCCCCTGAGATGTGCTTGGCTAGGACCCCCACCATCCTGAACCTGCAGGTCCCTTGGGCTGCAGTCCTTGCTGGAGATGATGGGAGTTGTTGTTGAACACACCTGGGAGACATCACATCACCTTGGGGAAGGCCGAGCTACTCTTGAAAAGTGAACCTTTTTCTGTGTATCTCGACATGCCTAGAAGCCGTGGAACAGGCGGTCCCCACCACAACCAGGGCGTTGCCGCTCAGCATCTCTGATGCCCTGGGCTTGTGGGCTGTTCGGATCCTGTGGCGAGCAAGCTCTGCTGAGCCCCTTCCCAGTGCATGGGGAGTGTTTTGAATTCCGGAGCGGCCCTCTGCGGCCACAGGCAGGGTTGCACGGCCTACATGGTATGGCATGTCCAGACACACACACCCAGACTGATCACGCCAAGGGTGGCTGGAACAGGGATTCTCGTGCCTCTGCTGCCCCCAGAGAGATCGGCAAAAGCCACCTTGTGGCTGTCAGTCTGGGAGCAGCTTTGACCAGGAGGGGGCTTGGACGGCATCCTTGTTCTTCACTCCCAGAATAGGGCGGTGCCAGTCCTGTTTCCACATCTGCTGCCCTCTAACACTCAAGCGGGTGCCCACCCAGGGCCAGGTTGGGCAGAGCTGCTGCCCCTCACTAGAATCATATGCAGTATGGACCCTGAAATAGCCCGCTGTGTGGGGAGAGGGCAGGGATAACGCTTCCCTTCACATAGGTGCAAATATCATTGACTGATGCACAGATGTGTTTCTTAGCCTGCATGTCTCTCTCTGTTCCAGGTGAGAGGATACCGGGAGTTTTAAGCAACTCAGACAGAAGCCACATTCCTCAGCAAGGATATAGGATATCCTCTTTCCCCTCTGTGAAGGAACGGTCCTCTCCATATCAGGCCGAAGCAGCTGCTGCTTCTGATCAGACCAGCAGTCTGACCGAACGAGTAAGTTTCTCATGCTTGGCATTTCTCCCGTATTTCAGAGCCACCAGAAGTGTTTAAGCCATGCCGGCCTCCAACAAATGGACATACGGGATCAAAGGGGAATGGGGCCAGGGGGAGGGAGGGGTGTTAAAGCCCCGCTGCGGCTGCTATTTCTGCGCCTCCTTCCATGTGGAGAGTGCCACGAATGCAAGCGCATTCATCCGAACATCTGGGGAGCCCTGGAAAATGCTCCAACCATCAGAAGTTCTGGGTTCGTGCTGACTCCTAGGTGTACTGCAGGCCAGGCAGCTTATGGCTTCTGGGGGTTCAATCTAGAATGCCCCAAACCCCTACCCTATATGGCCAATGGTGAGAGATTACGGAACTTGCAGACCAGACCATCTGGAGGGACACAAGGCCCTCGATGGGGACGCTGCTGCCTAAACTTCTGAAAGGTGATGCTGGGCGAGGCTGTGGTCCACAATGCACCTGACTCCCTGTCCAGAGAACTACAGTTCCCAGGAGTCAAGGGCAAGACCGAGCAGCAGCCAATCTACTGTAGGCTGTGGTGCAACTCTGCTCACAATGAAACAGAAAGATCAGAACATTTAGGGGGCGAAGGCTTCAGGAGTTCTGTTTATACGCCTACATGTATGGGTCGAAGTCTACAAATATGCATTTAATTACATAGAAAAAACTTTCTGTCATTCTGTCTTTTATTCAGAGTTTCATACACGAGCTCCCTTTTAATTGTCTTGATAACCAGAAACCAAACAAGGTAGGAAATATTATGGACATATGGCGAGCTGTATGGTTCAGGCTGACAGTCCAATAACCTTGTGATTAAAACTCCACTAACGCCGAAGAATTTGTGTCTAAAACCCGCTGGAACTGGTGTAACTTGCTGTGTGGTTTGTAATAGAGTGTCTTTTTCTCATGGTTTTTTGCTGATTAATGTATTGGTCCACAATCTTGTTTGCTGGAAATGTTTGTAAAATACAACTCAGGAACTCTGGGTGTATTTTTTTAAAATAGTGGGATTTGCAAGTCTAATTTCATAGTTCTCTGAGGCAACACGTTGCATCCTCTGAGACGCACGAACGATGTCCGATGTCTCTTTGTGATGCCTTCCATGCATCACATCCAGCTAGGAAGAGAAGAGAAACATCCTGTACAAATCTGACCATTTTACCAGGTGCTGCAATAGCCACAATTTAACTAATTTATTTATTTCCATTTCTGTGCTGTCCCATTACCTGAAGGTTCTCCAGTGGCTTACAGTCCTAGAGCATAAAGACACATATGAATTACAATAAAACAGTTATTAATCAAATAAAAAGATAAAACAATAAAATAATAGATAGCACCTCAAATAAAATATACTCACACACACCGGCCAATAAATTAACCAAAATGAAATTACGATAAAAATCCGTAACAGAAGATAAAAGTATGAAATAAATTTAAATTTAATTTGGTGCCCAGAATTAAATGGGAAAGGACCCAGATCCTGGTAGACGGCTGTCCGGAGAGGCATTCCCTCAGGTTTTGTGATCCGAAGCCTTGTAGGGATTATAGGTTAAAACCAGCACCTTGAATTTGGCTTGGAAGCATATAGGCAGTTGGCGCAAGTGGGCCAGAATTGGCTCTAAGTGTTCAGATGGTCTAGTCCCAGATGTCTACCACTGCAGCTTCCAAACAGCCTTCAAGGGAAGCCCCAAGTACAGCGCATTGCAGTAATCTAGCTTCGAGACTATCAGAGCAACAACTCCTGATCGCAGGGGTATGTCCATCTGGACAGGGGAACCAATGAGCCACCAGCTCAAGGTGGTGGAAGGATCTCTGAGCTACTGAAGCCATCCACCAGGGTACCACTGGGCCCCTGTGCCGAAGCTGGCTCAAGGAGCACTCCCAAGCTATGAGCTTGCTGCTTCAAGGGAGGTGCAGCCACATCTAGAGCAGGTTCAGTTCTCTCTCTCTGGTCAGAAGAAGGACCCGCCAAAAGCCTCTCAGCCTTGTCTGGATTGGGCTTCAGTTTGTTAGCTCTTGTCCATCCTCTTACTGATTTAGTACATCCGCAGCCTCACTTGTTGAAGATGAGAGCTAGAATGACAGAGAAACAGACAGACAACTGTCTTGTACATGTGACTAGGAGTGTATCATGGGAACACGTGATTTGGAATTGCACCCACCGGCCTCACCCCAACCCCTGCAGCCACACCTCAGCAAATACCCAAAGAGAGCCGAATTTCAGTTCACACGCAGGTTGAAAAGTGCAAAACTGCCAAACGATTTTCCCCGTGTCTGTACTGAACAGCATAAATGATCGTGAGAGATACAGTTCATAACATTCCTTAGCCAAAATCTTCCAATTCACTAAGAGTCCCAGGTAGGCGTGTCCAGACTTTCTTGAATGGATTTCCGCTGCATTTTGCAGATGGCCAGATACCTTCTTCCCTGCTGTCATCCACTCCTTGACAGAATTGGATTTCATGCAAATAAGTCTGGCTTGAGTTTGTTTGGCTTGAGTTTGTTTTGCATTATCTTGCTGTGAGTAGTTAGTTCTTTTTTTTAATGTATGCCCATTTTTACTGTGCAATACAAACCCCCAAAACCATGCCATTAAAAAAAGCAGGGCGACCAAACTGCAATGTTACCATTTTTTAATTGACTGTAAAAAGATTCATAGCATCAATGACACATCTATTATATATCTCACTTTGTTACCATGTAACAGAACAATTATTAAAAGTGATTAATCCAGTTCTTAACACCATTAATCCTAAATCGGTGGCGGAGCGACGGCAGCAGGTTCTGCTGTGGGCTGGTGTTTTGTGTGCCTGGAGGTATGGAATGAACACGCGGAAATGTGTGCTAACCAATGCTAGTGCATGAGTTTGGTTTTTCCCACTAACCATGGGCACGCTGACGGAGCGATCGTGCTGATGTTTGCCACACTGTCTCCTTAAAGATGGCAGAAGCTCCAAACGAAAAGTCTTCTAGCCCCAACGTCAAGAAGGCAGAGGAAGCCTTGCCCTCCGGCCAGCACCCTTCTCCAGCCCCAGCTTCAGGCCCCGGGAGCCAGGATCCCAACCCACAGCCTCTCCCGCCTCCCAAGGAGTCCTTCTCCAAGTTCTATCAGCAGCGCCAGGTCAATGAGCTGAAGCGGCTGTACCGCCACATGCATCCGGAGCTCAGGAAAAACCTGGAGGAGGCTGTGACGGAGGATCTGGCGGAGATGCTCAGCACAGACGACCCTCATGCGCAAACCTCGGGGGCCGCGGAGGCGGTGCTCCCTGGGGAGGTTCAGTCCATGCGCTGGATCTTCGAGAACTGGACTCTGGACGCCATTGGCGATCACCAAGCCGCCAAGAAGCTTGCGGAGGAGGAAGACATCCCAAGCGGAGATGTGAAGAGCCGATCCATGAGGTTTGAAAGCCAGCTGACCAACGGGGAGGGAGCACCACCTGCGGGCAAGGCATCCGAGAGAGAGCGTGCCAAAGGGGACGTGCACACCGCTCGGTGGTTATTCGAAACGCAGCCCCTGGACTCTTTGAACAAAATATATTTAGATGAGACTGACGTGCAAGAGGCGGTCCTGAAAGAGCCTGTTCAGAGCGGGGATGTGAAAGGGGCTGCCCAGCTCTTCGAAACCCATTCCTTGGACGCTCTGGGTCGCTGCAGCTCGGTGGAGGAGCGGAACATCTTGCAACTCAAGTCAGAAATCCAAGAGCTCAAAGGCGATGTCAAGAAAACCATCAAGCTCTTCCAGACAGAGCCCCTCTGTGCCATCCGGGACGAAACGGGGAACATCCATGAGATCAAATCTGTCTGCAGGGAAGAAATACAGAGCAACGCCGTGAAGACGGCCCGCTGGCTCTTTGAGACGCAGCCTTTGGACACCATCAACAAGGACCCATCCAAGGTGCAAGTCATCCGAGGGATATCGCTGGAGGAGGCCGCGAGGGGGAATGTCAGTGGCACAAAGTGGCTGTTCGAAACTCAGCCCCTCGACGCCATCCGGGAGCTCACGGTGGAAGAGGCCGATTTCAAGGCCTCCCCAGATCTCATCCAGGGAGCTGATGTCAGTAAGCAGTGCCAGCTTTTTGAGACCCAGCCTCTTGACACGCTGAAAGGGGACGCTTCCGACAGTACCCCCGCCAGAGAGGAAGTGGTCAAAGGGGACGTGAAATCAACCCTCTGGCTGTTTGAAACCCAACCCATGGAAGTGCTGAAGGACAATTTCGAAGTGGGGCATTTAAAGAAAGTGGAGCTTTCTGACGAAGAGAAGGGTGCCGTGAAGCAGACAAAGCATGTCTTTGAGACCTGTCCTTTGGACAGCATCTCCAGATCTCCACCAGAAGGCTTCTCGGCCACTAATGGGCAACAGACAGAGAAAGGGGACGTGAAAGCCTTCAAGAGCCTCTTTGAGACCCTCCCTTTAGACTGCATCAGGCAGGTGAGCACCGAGGAGGCTGTCCAGCAAGGCGAGGAAATACCACCTGGGAACGTCAGAGCCAGCCAGGCCCTGTTTGAGACGACACCGTTGTACGCCATCAAGGACTGCCAGGGCAACTTCCACAAGGTCACTTCTGTGAGTAGAGAAGAGGAGGTTATGGGTGGAGACGTGAAGAACTACAAGTGGATGTTTGAAACCAAGCCTTTGGATCAGTTTGATGATGGGACCCAGAAAGTGGATGTGATCAGGGGCATCACAAAGCAGGAGGTGGTGGCTGGAGACGTCAAGACAGCCAGGTGGCTCTTTGAAACGCAGCCCATAGATGTCATCCACAGCCAAGTCAACCCAAAAGAGCAGGACGCATCGGAGCGCCGGGACGTTTCCCAAGGGGGCGCCGTGAGGACTTGCAGGTGGCTGTTTGAAACTCATCCGATTGATGCCCTGTATGAAAAGGATGAAAAGAAGCTGGACAGAGAGGAGCCTGTGCCACGCACGGATGTGAAATCCTGCACGTGGATGTTCGAAACGCAGCCCTTGGATTCCCTGAAAGGCCAGGAGGAGCAATACCTGCAGGTCAGCAAGGCATTCTGCCCAGCCGAATTTCAAGGTGTAGACGTGAAAACGGTCAGGCACCTGTTTGAGACGGAACCCCTGATCAATCATACCACAGGTGGCAAGGATTCCAAGGAAGTATGCAGGTACTCCAGTCGTGTGGAAATTCAGTCTGGAGAAGTGTCCAGGGTGAAGGAGTTTTTTGAAGCCAAGCCCTTGGATTCCACTGATAAAACAACTCAGGCTATGAAGGCAACCGATCTTCCTCCAGGTGGCAACATTGAACCAGGGGCGGTGCACAAATTCAGCTGGCTCTTTGAAAACTTCCCCATGGACACCTTGAAAAGCACCTTGGGGGGTATTCAAGAAATACCCCCCGAAAAGGACATCCAAGGTGGAGATGTTGGAGGCAAACGATTCATTTTTGAAACCTACTCCCTGGGTCAGATCCATGACGAGGAGAATGAGATGCAGATCAAGAAAATCCAGGAAGAGACAATGAACAAATCCAGTGTCAAATCCTGCACGATGCTGTTCGAAACCCAGCCCCTGTATGCCATCCAAGACAGAGATGGGGGCTATCATGAAGTCACCTCTGTGAAGAAGGATGAGATCATGAAAGGAGACGTGAAGGGCGCACGGTGGCAGTTCGAGACCAAACCCTTGGACCAGATCCAGAAGAATGAAGAGGTGTTTGTAATTAGGGCTGTCACCCAGGAGGATTTCAAGACAGGTGATGTCCAAGCAGCCAGGTGGAGGTTTGAAACAGAGCCTCTGGACTCCATTGCTGATGAGAAGAAGCCTATCTTGAGGACCGTTGATGACGTGCAGAAAGGAGATGTCCACTCTAATAAGCAACTCTTTGAGTCCGAGCAACTGAGCCAAAAGAAGTATGTGAGGATGGTCAGTGTTAGTGATGTTCAGCAAGGGGATGTGAGGACTTCTACCTGGCTTTTTGAGAACCAGCCGATTGACTCCTTGAAAGGAGACTCTGAAAGCGCCTCCGGCCTGAGCTTGGTACAAAGAGAGAATATCCATAAAGGGGACGTGAAACGCTGCACTTGGCTGTTTGAGACCCAACCCATGGACACCCTCAAGGACACAGACGTGTCTGCAAGTGCTGAGCCGCCAGAGGTGGTTCCTCAGGTCAATGTGAAAAGCACCACATGGTTGTTTGAAAGTACCCCTCTAGATAAGCTCAGCACTTCTCCATACTGCACAGAAACGGAAGCAAGACAGAGAGCATTGACATACACCCTGGAAGTTCTCTTTGCCCATCAAGCGATCCAACACGGGGGCATCCTTATCGAAGCCAATGATACTGAGAGCGTCAAGATGGCAAAATATCAACTTGGCTGCCAAGGAGCCCCAGAAATCCTAAAGGAAGAAGTCATGGGAGGCAACTTGCAAAGGATCCTGTTACAGCTACTTCAGAGGACCAATGTGGAAGCCCAGGGTGTGCTGGTGCAGGAAGAGGAGGATGGCAATCTAAAGATCAGTCCCGTTCAGCTGTTGGACCCTAGCAAAGCAGAGAAAAGCCAGCCGGTCTTGCAGGATGATGTGGCCAGGACTCTCCAAGACTTTCTTAGTCAAGCAGACGCCTCCCTCAAGAAAGGAATAATTATGCAGGAGACAGAGACTGGGTCTGTGAAGATGGCGGTCTACACTCTCCGTTGTGTTGCTCGGCAGGATGGACTCGTGAAGGGGGACGTGAAGTCCACAATTGGGAACCTGCTGGCTTCTTCACAGGAACATAGGCCAGCAGCAACCATCCGACGAGAGGACAATGAAAGAGGCAACGTCCAGTTGTACACCAGCTGCATCGAGAAAGGAGACCTCGACTACCTGAAGAACCTCCACAGGGAGATGGAGATAGAATCCCTCGTTTCCTCCCAAGCAAAAGAGGAACCGCTGAAAACCCCGCACGAGGGTGCTGCACCTGCCCAGGTGCAGCAGGAAAAGGTAGTCACGGCGGCAGATGTGATACGAGGGTCTAGCAGTGACGCTAAGCGAGTGTGCTTGTGTGCGAGCAAGGAAGGTTCGTTAGAAAGGGAGGCAGGGCACGCGAGCGACTCAGGGCCCACGACGCCCTGCCTGGTGCCGTCTCCACCCGCAGGGACAGCCGCAGGCCATGCAGTGGCTGGGAAAGCTCAGCCGGCCACCCAGGCAGTTCCGAAGGAACAGGAAGGTAGCAGGAGCCCGGTGAGAGAAGAGTCAATAACCCCGAGCTCCCGGGCAGGGGAAATGCCCCAGGGGGCAGCTCAGCCCCAGCCCCCTTCTCCCGGGAGCGAACTCCATGCGGCAATGCAGAGTCTCAGATTAGTCACGGCAGAGGCAAAAAGCCTTCAGCACCAAGTGCGGAGCAAGCTGCAGAAGTCTGCAGAAGACCCCCCGCTCACGGCCCCTGCGGCGCAGCCCCAGGCAGTGGCCTTGCAAGCCACCGCGCACAACAAGCGCCTTGCAGACCCCGGGCCGCCACAGGCCGGCAGCGGCACCGTCGTCCGAGTGCAGGAGGCCGGCCGGGAGTCCGGGGCAAGCGTTCCTTGGAAGAGTGCAGCCTCACACACACAGGCCGGCGCTCCCCCCGCAGCCTGCTGCGACGACTGCTTTGCACCCAGGGCAGGTGTTAGCATTAAAGACGGCCTTTATACTGCCAAGCCAGTGAAGCCCTATGTAAACCCGTTTCTTGAGTCTGAGTTCAAAGAGCACTCCGTTCCCGAAGAACGAGCGCAAGATCCCGTAGTTGGAGGGGATGTCCGAACAGCTCTCAGCGCCTTGCAGAATGCAGCAGCAGAACAGAGGCGAGCCGAGAAAGAGGATGTTGTCCGTGGCAACCTGAAAGCTGCGCTCGAGTCCCTGGAAAAGTCTAATGTCAATGTCTCCAAAGGAGATTTTAAAGCAGCCATGATATACAGGAACGCAGGGCAGTCCCAGTCCATGTGTAGAAAGAAAAGCGAGGCTCAGTCTGTTAGTGACCAGGCAGCTGCTGTCGTGGCTACAGGCTCGCGAGCTCTTAATGATTTTCCCCCTCCTTCTCCAGCTTCACTGGTGAGACCCGAAGGCCACACGCCCCCCGCCAAAGAGCGAGAAGAAGATGCTGTAGGGTGTCCCCCACCTGGGCCACCACACATTCCGAAGACTCTCCCACCTGCCCCAGCCAAACCAAGTGACCCGAGGCCCATGGAGAAGCCGCAGCATCCCCACAAGCCGGAGGCCCCACCCAGGAAGAAACCTGTCCCGCCCCCCAAGCCAGAGTTCCTCCTGAAGGAAGGGCTCTCCTGCCAGCCAGCTGGCTGCAGCAAAAGACCCCTGGGGAAGGCAGCGCCCCCTCCCCGCCCTTCCAAACCTCCCTCCGTGGTTGAGCAGAACAAGCCCAGGACGCCCCTTCAAGTGGCAGAAGAAAAGTACCGTGCAAAGAAGGAAGCGAGCAGTGCAGAAGGGGCAAGCCGCATGCCTTCCGCAGAGGCATCAGAAAATGGGTTGGCTGGCTGTGAAGGAGGGAACTGCCAGCCAAGTAAAGAAATCCAAAGATTCCCGTGCCAAGGAGAAAGCAGATGTATGTCGCCTGGGGGACAGCACTCCCTCTCGTCTCCCGGATGCCACGCAGATCCCGCTCCCCTGGGAGGCCAGAGGAAGCCCTATCTCTCTGCAAAGTGCCATGCCAATGTTCTGAAAAAAGGAACCGTCACAGTACAGGCCTCCTCATCAAAGAGAGAAAGCGCAGGCTTGCCCAGGGCCTCCGTCTTGAAGGATGAACAGAGAAGTCCAAAAGCACAGGAAGCGTTCTCAGAAGCTGCCCGTTCAGCATCTTCCTCTTTGCAATCAAAGCAGTTCCCCAAACAGCAGCAGTGTGTGCCCAATAAGGACTTCAGAGACCCAGAGACGAAGACTGAACAAAGCACAGAGAGGGACGAGCCGGTGGTCGTCATGCGGGAAAAAACTTGCCGGGAAACTGAAGACGAACGTCGTGAGAGACTGTCCGTCCACAAGGAGGAGATCATGAAAGGCAACGTCAAGGAGGCTATGGAGATATTTGAGAACCTGCGCAAGCAGGAGGCCCTCCAGGAAATTCTAACCCGCGTGAAGGAATTTGAGGAGGAGACCTCCAAGGTGGATGTGAAAGCGTTGAGAAGCTTGTTTGAGAATGTCCCTGACTGGGTGGTGCATCACAAGGTGCGCCAGCCCAAAGCACCCAGGGTGGAGAAGGCTGAGCAGATGAAGGACGTGAAGGAAGATGCAGACAGTGTTTCCTCGGTGGAGTTGGCCTTTGAGGACCTAGAGAGAGCGAGTGCCGAGATCCTCCATTTAAAGGAGCAGACGCTAAGCCGGCTTCTGGACATCGAAGAGGCCATCAGGAAAGCTCTGTGTTCCATTTCTAACCTGAAATCTGAGTCGGACATAGCCGGACTCTCAGGGCTGCTCAAGGAGTCTATAGGGGACTCTCAGAGCCTTGCAGCCGGGAACAACATTCGCAGAATCAGCATCGTCTCCAGCAAAGCCCAGCAAGAGGGAGGAACGCAGAACTCACCCTGGGAAGGCGAAAGGGGGCCAGAAAAGCAAGAGTTGCCCAGAGTGGAGCTGTCAGTTCCCCATATCATTCAGCCTAGAGTGAGCTCTCCGTCCTCTCCTTCCTACATCTCCATTCAATCCGCTGCACGGAAAACGTCAGAATCACCTAAAGCGGCAAATTCCTCCTCATCCAATTCCAGGGAAATTGCAACAGAAAGGGAACTAGTCGCTCAAGACATTTTTAGCGCGATGCCACATAAAACCATGAGGCCGGATGGCTGCAATGTGTCCTTCTGCACAGGCGAACAGGAGGTCATCCAGATGAAGAAAGGAGCGAGCTTAATTAAGCAGCAACACCTCAGCAGCCCTGAGCATCTCCAGCATCCCACTGGGAGCCACGGTGATAAAGAACGGGACGCACCGTTCACAGTGTCCTTGTGTGCTTTAAGCCCATCCAATCCAAGGAGGCAGAAAAGCATCCTTGAACTGCAGACAAGCCAAGATGGATCCAAGCTCTATGGAGCGACCAGGACCGTGACTGAGCAGTACGAGGAGGTAGATGAGTTTGGGAACAAAATCATCACATCATCCACCACTGTCACCAAACAGTCAGAGACTCAGACCTCCTCCACATGCGACATGGTTTCTTGCCCTACCAGGTACGAGGTGACAGCCTCTCCAGTCCTTCACAGGTACCTTAACAGCCCAGTCGACTTCCAATCCAACCATGAGCACCAGGATACTGGTGTGGTCTTTGTCACTTTCAGCAACTCCAAGCCGGCAAAGAAATAGGAAGATCTCAGCAGAGGATAAGAACTATGCAGCAATCTACAAACTAGTTAACGCCGTGCGCTCAGAGTTAAGCCAGTTCAATCTGAGTGAATTTTAAAGGACTAAAACTGATTGAAACTTGGTGCATTCAAGATTAAGTGTGGATTGACCTGTATATTAAACGAGCATGATAGTTGGGATGAACTGAAAGCCTTGCAGAACAGTTGGGAAGTAGTCGTACTGCTTGTGTACCAGTATAACCAGCATTCAGGACCGCTTCTTAAAGAAAGACGCCTCAGCTTGCCACTGCAGCTCAGACCTCGATTTTGGGTCTCATGGAAGAAAGAAGACAAACAGAAATGGTCAACAGAAGCGTGGCCTTTTGACCATTGCTTTGCTGCATCAGGCGGTACCACCCAGCATACAGGTTCCAACAATTCTGGACACGTCAAAGACAAAACAGACTGGCACTGAATGCAAGCCAAGAATCATAAGCCAATATTTGAGAAAATGGGTTCATTTACTGCACTTTTTCCACCCCTGGCATCAAACAGGAACTCTCCCTTCTTCCCATTCACCCTTACCAGGTGCCCAAAAAAGTCACAATGTGCCTTCTCTCCTATAGGTCTTTCCAGGGGCTCTGGATGGAATAGGTTTTTACTCATAGCTTCCAATGCCCGCAAGTTCAGTACATAGTCACCAGACAGAGGATGTTTAACACTGTCCATATTTAGCAAGGGAGTACAGGAACCAGGACTGTAAGAATGCCTTTCCTTGTCCTTCCCCTGATGAGAAAGTGGGGGAGATACCCTAGTTAAAATGGGGGTGTTTTTAGACATAAAGATGGATATTGCTTTCTTCTTTTTCTATTTTAGAACCATAATTTATTATTTATCCTCCACTTGTCTTTTCTCCTCAATCCCTTCCTTTCCCTCTTGCCTGTTCAGTGTTTAAGTCAATGACAAAATCATGTAAAGCAATTTTATTGTGATTTTTGTACATTCTCAAGTGAAGAGTTTAGATTTTCTGTGGTTGTTTTTTGTGTTTTGATGGTAAAGTTGACTTTCGAAAAGTAGCTTGCGTTGATTCATTTTTATTGCTGTTGTGTTTCCTTGAAGATTCATTTACCTTGAAATCATATTTAGAAGACTTTTCTCTTTGAGGTTGTTGAACCGGCCAGAACCTTTGTTTAACAGCGACAAAAACAAAAAAAAAAAAGCCAGGTGACCTGACTGTGCTTGACATTTCTGTGAAAACTCTGGAATTTTTTTGAGATGGGGGTGGGGGGTTATTTATTTATTTATTTATTTATTTATTTATTTGCTACAGTGGTTGTTTTACGAACAACACTCACCCGTTTTGCACACTCTGGCGCATGCTTCAGGAAGCCCTGACCCTCTCGACCATCCCAGAGTGCAGGACACGGAATAAGCGTCTCAAAGTTATAGCAAGCCAGGCTCTGGCTGAGCATCAGGAAGAATTTCCTGACTGTTGGAGCATTGCAAGAACAGGACCCATGACGTAGGGCGGCGGTGGGCTCTCCCACACTAGCGGCGTTCAAGGTGCAACTGGACAGCCATCTCAGAGGGTTGGTTGAACTGGGAGTCCTGCCCTGAGCCTTCTTGGCCCCTTCCAGCTCTACCTTTCTATGGCTCCCAGTGACGTTCTCTTGCAGGCACGTTCATGGTTGGGGTTCCCCAAAGCCCCCGATTTTGTATCCCACAGATTTCACACATGCAAGCGTTGTACTGGTCAGCAACATAGTAGCTTAGGAGAAACGACCCAGGAGGTTGGTTTGTGTGAAGCATGCTTTTCCAAATGCAATTTTACAAAGTCGCTGGGCAGAGCAAGGCAGGGCAACTTTTCCCATGGCTGCTTCAGCAGGACTAAATTGCAGAGTGGCTTTCCCCACCCACACATCCTGTAGACAGGTACGTGAGGGGGTGTCACACGGAGGTGGGTAGAGACCTGTTTTCCCCTGCAGAGGAAGGCAGGCCGCGCTCCAATGAAATAAAGCTCAGCGAACCAAGGTTCAGTTTGGATGCCAGGAAGTACTTCCTGATGGTTAGGGCCCCTGGAGTATGGGATGGGCTTCCACAGGAGGTGGTTGAAGCCCCCTTGGTGAGGGTGTCCAAGGACAGGCTGGACATGCACATGGTAGGAGCTGGGGGTCAGACTAGAGCTGGGGGTCAGACTAGATGGCCTGGGAGACCCCCTTCTGACTCGCTCTGTTTCCCTGTTTCTATGTTCCAAGATGCGCTAGACCACAACTCCCATCATCCCCATCCAACATGGCCAGTGGTCAGGAAGGGCTGTTAGAGAAAGAGAGAGAGAACATGGGAGAGAGAGAAGGCATCACACCCCACGGAAATAGGCAGAAATAGAAGGTGTTCCACTAGGTCTGGAGCCCAGGTTTTTCTGTTGGAGTCCCAAATTACTGGTTGTTGAAGACAGAAGCAAAACGGGGGATGGAGGCTCTTGTTCTGAGTTTAACTGTGCTCACTTTCCCCATAATGTCCTTTATTGCTTGACAAAGTCGAGCGGTCACTTGCCTGAAGTCTGTCACATCGCATCGACACGTTGATTGTTGATGGGCGCTGCCAAGTTATTGTGAGCAAAGGGAGGGAGGAATGTTGAGGATTAAAATTCTGCTCCCAGAGGAACTTTGCTGACTCGTCATCTCTCCATCGCGCCAACAATGACCTCACTGTTTGTGTCACGGGCATTTTCCTAGCGCCTCAAAGGACTGGCTATAGCAGGTGAAATAATAGCAAATGACGGGGAGAGCTCTGTTCAGGAAACAGTTGTGCTTCTCCACTCGGCCCCCTTCCTGAGGCTCTTTTCGTGTGAAAAACCGGCTGATCAGGAGAAATGACAAAGAAAAAGCCAGCCCCTGTGGACGGCTTTTGCTTGTGGATTTTCGTCATCGGGTTGCTATTTTAGGGGATATCGATTGAACCTTCTGTGCACCCACTGGGACCAGCCCACGATCTTTTGCGGCCTGGGCCAAAATGGTGGCCCACCTTGACTCCATGTTGAAAATCTAAATGGACAGGATTTAGATAAAGGGTAGGCACACGCTGCTGGTTAGGGTCGGGGTCTCATGGCATAAACAGACCCTGCTGACCTCTCCACTGAATCTGCTGCCCAATGTTCAGCTCTTTCTACCTAAGGGGAGGGCTGGCCCAGCTCTCACCAGCTCTTCACCATGGAGATTCTGTGTCTCTTCAGCCACCTAAAATACTCTCAGATTAAACATCAAAAACATCAAACACCTTTTTGCCACTCTCTGCCAGGAAAGTAGCTGTCAATTCCCGCCAACACTAAAGACACTTCTGTTCTATAATGTTTAAGATGCTTTTGGAACTCACATATCCCAAAGTCCTATTGAGTTATAAGGCCCCTGTTCTGAATATGATGAAGACTGCAATCCCATATAGACACTTATATAGGCTCCCTACCTGAAGTTCTCAAAGTAAGTTATTGGAAACAAAGCTTGCAAAAATTTCAAGTGTTGTTTCATAGCATGAAATGTTCAGGTCCTAATGGAGACTCTCATCCTGGCCTTGGCGATGATGGAATCACAGGAATGATCTCAAAATGCAGCAATTCTGTTCTTTGCTCTTCAAACTGTCATTCGGCCCATTTAGAGCAAGAAGGGATGGATTTCTACAGCGGCCAGAATTCCATTCAAAGGTTGCTGTGTGGAGAGTGCAGCAAAGGGGCCCGGCCTTTCCCTTGTACCTGATTAGGGAGGCCTCCCAATCCTTGAGGAACCTTCAACGACTCCAATCCGATGCCAAGGTCCACCCTGCATTCCTGCCTTTGATGCTTCGCCTGGTGCAAACTGTAGCAGTGGCATATGGATTGGAGAACTGACCTTCAAACCAGGGGCCAAGTCTAGTCTGCTTTCCGCTGGACGACTCTGGGGTGTTTGGTCTGCTACTTGGTCTCCGGCCCACTCTCACACCTGGAATGCACCTCCAGAGAGCTCCTCCAAAACTGGATCTGAAAAAAGGAGAAGGCCCTCACTACAGAAGAACTTCCCCCAAGTCGAGGGGACACAGATAAAACCTGGCCACTAGATGGGACAACTGTGGTGGTGTTGTCCTCTATGTGATGCTGTGGCAGAAGGAGAGGCAGGATTGCAGGGCCCCTACTTGGGTTGTGGCAAAGCTCCAAGGAATCTGTCCCTCGAACATGCATGGGCTTCCTCTCGGGCCTGGCCCGGGCTTAGAAAGTGAGCTGAGCCGAGAGCAAGTGCGCAAATGCTCTCAGAATGAACCTTGCACAACCAGCAAGAGCGCAAGCCAAGGCCGCTGCATGCGGTGTGGAAGAGAGACGCTTGGTGGCACAGGGCTCCGTTCTTGGCGAGACCTCGGACACAGCAGACTGGAGTCTGGGGAGCCCAGCCCAGGGAAGCCAACGGATTCCCACCCCGAAGACAGATTCCACACGTCACTAGCCCCTGCCATCACCTGTGTTAGCGGGTGAGCCCCACTGGCACCTTTTCCAGAAGTATTTCCATTCAGGTTGGTCATTATAAAATCATCATACCTCTAAGAACCTGCATTTGCATCCCACTCTCCCCCCCAACCCGCCCAGTGCCCTTTTATATGTTGGACCCGTTCACACAATACACAAGCCACCCTCTTGCACAGGAGGGTGTGTCAAGTCATTGCAGCCCTGTCATGGTATTTCAGCATGGTAGGTTTGGATTTGAGAAGCCACAGTAAGAAATCATGGTCTATTCTGTGGTTTCCATGCTTTTCCATGGTTTCTCTGATCGCTCAAACCCAACACAGCGTGGTTTCCACACTGCTACCAGAGTCCCCCGGAAAGAGTGACAGCTGCTTCAGGAGCTGCTCCAGCTATCCAACATGGAATTGAGCTTCAGGTGCAGAGGTTGATGGGATACATGTCAACAGTGGGAGGACTGAGTGAGGAGGGTGGAAACCACACTTGTGTGGAAACCACTTAATCGTTTTTCAAGCATATCCACGGCATATCCACGGAAACCATGCAGACTTGCTTGCCCTTTAATTTCTAAATCCAGACAATATTCGAGATCTCATGCAAGCTGCTCCAGGAAGCCCTTTTCCTGGAGTAAAAATGGTTTGGATAAAGGTTGGTAGGTACGAGATCAGAAACTTTCACTGGCTTGAAAAAGAATGGCTCAAATGGTCATGCTGACTGTCTCACCTCCTAAAAGATCTCTGCAGGCTACCTGCATAAATCAGGTTCTGCTTGTCTGAAAAATGCTCGCTTCCATTTCCCCTTCCAACCGCAAGCAACAATACAGGCCAATATTTTCTCTTCAACCAGTGCTCCCACCCTCCAAAGGAGAGAGGTGGCTTGTATGATCCTTTTGGGAGAGCAACCTGCCAGAACATCTTGGAACTCCTTTCTAAGACGAGCCTGCTTGGCAGCTTCCATTTTTGCCTTTTGATAACAAGTAAATATGTCTCAAGTTTTTACCCACGCTGATTTTAAACTGAGTTTGGCTGATTTAAGCCTGATAATACTCATATATTTATTTAAAACATTTGTATGCTGCACAATTGTGCCATAGCACCTCTGGGAGGCTCACAACCACCAGATAAAAGCACAATAAAAACATAATCATCTGGGGATTTTATTTTATTTATTTATTTATTAAAACATTTTTATGCCGCCCCATTCGCTGAAGGCTCGGGGCGGCTTACAACAAAAAATTAAAATAACATTTTAAAATATATACAATAAATACAAATATATAATATAAAATATAAAATTTTATAAAACATCCACTATAAAACAAGCCGCCCTGGCTGGTGAGCAGATAAGATTCGTGGGCGCTCTTACAAAATGGCTGCCATGCAAGTGGGGGCTGCCTGTGTATAAATTTACTATTATGAGAGGCACAGCTGATCACAAAACACTCATTTCCCATTAGACAAACTGGGGAGACCCAAAAAAGTAACTTTCCCAAGGACCTATGTACAAGACAGAAGTGGAGTTCATACCCCAAAACACAAAAAGGCCACTCTTTTTTTTTTAAAGATTTTATTAAGATTTTAAACTAATACAAACATC